TGCACCTTTATTTTATGTGTGTCTCACACACAGGACGTAGATAGGTCCCTCCCCCAGTTCAACGTTAGTTACTATGTGAAATATTCAACTTTCAGTTAACATAATTACTGATTTAGGTGGGTTTCATCTCTACATTTTACTGATTACTTTCTATTAATCCACTGCTTCATCTTCCCTTTTTTTCCATTTTTTCTTTTAAAATTAAATTAAATTAAAATAAGATACATTTTTAATTGTCAGAGAACAGGAGTGCTCACCAGAGAGAGAGAGAGAGAGAGGGGGGTGGGGGAGAAAGAGAGGGACAGGGAGAAAGCACATCCTGCAACTGAACCTGGTCACACCGCAAGCTATTCTCCTCCATCTCTCCACCCTGTTGCGATTCGGAGCACGCACACACCCATGCCTGGCATGTTTTCCAAGCCACCAGGGCTGGAATTCAAACTGTGGTTGGCCATCTAGGATCTTGCTCCCTTAACTTCTAGACTATGGGCCAGCCCTCAATCTTGTCTTCTTTAGGATTACTCAAATATATTTTCCTTTCTTTTGCTTATTCTTTCTGATATTACAACATACGTCTTTACCCTGATATTGCTAGAACTTAGCAATACCTAAAAAAATTACTTATTGGAGTTGGCAGGTGGTGTGGTGGTTGAGGCCCTGGACTCCCACGAGACTGACCACGGTTTGAGTCCCGGACCCAATGGCTTGCTATCTCACTTTCTTTCTCTCTCTCTCTGGTCAAGTTAAATAATAATAAATAAAACTGAATTTTTAAAAAATTTACTAATTTTTAAAAGAATAATTTAATTCTATTTGTTATTATTATTTCTTAAATATGACAAGACAGAGGCAGAGAGAGAGAGAGAGAGAGAGAGAAAATGAAAGAGAGAAAGCAAGCCATCAGGTCCAGGACTCAAACTGCGGTCGGCTACATAGGAATCCAGCGCCTTTAATCACCATGCTGCCTACCTGCCCCAGCTTATTTCTTTTTTTTAAAAAAAGATTAAATTCTATCCATTGTTGTCATTATTATTATTATTTTAATTTATTACAGAGGACATGCACTTACTAGAGACAGAGGAAGAGAGACAAAGTGAGTGAGAAAGCAAGTTGCCAGGTCTGGGACTTGAACAGTGATCGGCCATAGAGTACAATGGCTTTAACCACCACACTACCAGCTAGCCCTACTTACTTATTTCTTCCATGAGAGACAGAGAAACAGCCACCTCCTATACGACAGCATCTAGAAACATCTTTTTCACTTTAAATTCAATGTCACAGAAGCACAGGTCGGAGCTTGAAGACTGTATATATGATCTAAGCATGATTTTCTACCTAATACTAATCCTAGCAGATGGTTAGATTTCTGTCTTGAACAATTTCCCAGTTTGGGGGAATTCACAAGATCACAAGATAAGGCATTGAAAACCAGTTCTAATTATAAATAACTTCCTTATAGAGTACTGAGACGAAGTCTGCCAACCTTTACCTCCTGGTCATGGGAACTCTTTCACCCAAAGGAACAGGCAAGAACATTTAACTTTAATCCTTTGTTTTTTGACTATGTTATTTGGAGAGAGATATTATGTCCTGAGGTCTCTAGATTAAATATGCCTTTCTCTACTGCCCGACTCCACATTCACAATGGGTCACTAATCCACTAATCAAGTATGTTTCTAAAAATAAATTGGAATTTAGGTCATCATCCCCACAGATGGTGGCTAAATTTAGGCCCTATTTCTCACCTGGATTGCTGACCCTTCTCCTGCTTATAAGCAGAAACTAAGTGATCTCCTTCATACCCTCTTCTCTTCATGCTGAAATCATCAACAATTTCTTATATTATTGTTAAGATCTTTCTACAACCTTTAATTTCTCTTAGTTGCTGATATACAGAAGTACAACTTACTTCTGTGTATTGATTGTGAATGTAGCAACCTTGCTAAACTGAATGATCTAAATATATAATCATACCAACACTCCGAATGATTTCTTGTCTCTAGGAAAACACAAAACAACAGAGAATTACATGACTATAACTTATTTAAAAATACACAATGGGGGCTGGCAGGTGGCGTAGTGATTAAGGACACCAGACTCCCACATGGCTGACCATGGTTTGAGTCCCAGATCTGGCAGCTTTCTTTCTTTCTCTCTCTCTCTGTCCTTCTCTGGTCAAATTAAAATAAATAAATAAAGTTAAATAAAGTAATTCTTACAAAATAAATAAAAATATACAACGGTTGCAATTTAAAGAGATGTTTATAGTAATACAAAGACTGTAACTCAATGATAGCTGGGAATAGCCATCATACCATCTCAAAATTAAATTACCCAAGGAAGTGAGGCACAATTCTATTTGCTTGTGAGATCACTAGGCAACAAGTCTTTGGCAGGCGTCAGATCATCTTCATCTCTGAATCAGAAGAAACAGATTGCCGAAGGTACACTAAAAGTAATGTGGACTACTCACAAATTCAAATGAAGTGCTCAGCATGCAAAACATGCTTGTCTAGGGATGCAACAACCCTTCACAAATGACTTCTCAGTAACTTGCAGTGTCTTTTCCACAAACCTTCCTGGCAGGCTGACAGCTCCAAAGTGACTCCCCATGACTGCCTTTTCTCTTTGTTCACATCTCTTTCCAAGGGCCTTAAAATGACTTCCTGATGAATTATTTCTAACTCATTATTGGATAGCGGAGTAGAGTGCATGCTGTGGGTACTCTAGAAATAGCAACCTCTTCTCAGGAGAAACTTAATGCCCAGGAAACTGTTAGACCAGTAGGCCGACAGCGCCAGGCTGGACAAAATGTCAGTGGACCCTAAAGGCAGAAAGGACCCAAAAGTGGAACTCTCATTTGTGAGGTTTAAGTGAGGAGAAAGAGGCAAGCTTATTACATAGTCTTTGACTAGCGTCTCCACATATCACGAGTACTGAAGGAGTTTAGAAATGTGTTTTCTAAATTTTAGTATGGGATGATATTATGGTTTAGATAATGGTTTGTGCTTGTTTCATGTTTTAGATTCTGATCTTAGTGAGCATGACCAGATGTCTCCCAGAAATTCATGCACTTGAATTTGATCTTATTGACTGTTATTATAAAGATGTTAAGTGAAAATTTAATTCCCTCATGGTGTTCCAGGGTGGGGCCTTTGGGTGTGATGTCATTCGAGCGAGTTCTGGTAGGCTTATAAGCAGAGGGAATAAGACCAGAGGGCAGAAAGTCACATGAATGTAGACATGCTTTGCTCTCCTGAAAGTTCTGCCTTTTGCCATTTTGTGATGCCTTTGGCTTTCGAAGCCACTAGAACTGCGTGTCAAAATAAACCCCTATCTACCCTGTCTCAGGTATTTCTACTTGCAGTGCAATGACTGGTTATGATAGATGAAAAAGTTTCAGTGAAGGAGAGTTGGTCATGGTTGTAAAACAATACACATAGACTTAATACCACCACTTCGAAACGGTTCAAGTGGGGCCCAGCTGTGGTGGCCCAGGCAGTAGCACGGCATTCTACAATGTTGGAGCCACAGAGATGATCAGGACTCAGGGCCAGGTAGACCTGAAATACTCTGGGCCTGAGACCCTGGCTGGCTGAAAGGCTGGGGAAGGGAATCATCATATGACAAGATCTTGTCACGATGCCCAACTCTTTCTCTCAAACTTATTTTAAAAAAAGTTTAAATGGCAAATTTATACATTTTATGTGTATTTTACTTCAATAAAATTTTTTAAAAGGTACATTTTTTATTGTTACACACTATCTGATATTATTATTAATAGTAATCACAGCCATTAAAAACACTAACCATCTGGGGTCAGCAGGAGGCATGGTAGTTAAGATGCTGGATTCCCATATGGCCAACCAAGGTTCAAGGCCTGGACCTGGCAGCTTGCTTTCTCATTTTCCTTCTTTCTCTTCTCTATCTCTCTCTGGTGAGCACAGGTGCCCTGCAGCAAATTTAAAAAATAATAATAAAAAATAATAAAATAAAATAAATAACTCTTTAGGGAAAAAAAAATACAAAACACTAACCATTAAAATCTGACAGTCCTGTATCTGAGATTTGATTCTGGAACTTACAAGCATGTCATTTAACTACGTCTCAGTTTCCTTACGTGTAACACAGGAATAACAGTGTGCTTACCCAATTGTTACTGTGAACTTGAAATTATTCATGTAGTTCTAGGCATGAAGAATGGGCTCAATAAATGTTGGCTCTAATTTTCTTTTTAGGTTTCTTTCGTATTTTGTACAATGAAGACTAAAAGCAAAGCTTCAGTAGAAAGAGGAATAATTCATTTCTCCCTAGTCCTTAACGTCACTGGGAACTATAAAACAACTTTCAGTAAGATGCATTCCATGACGTAGTTAAAGGATGCACGAGCCCAAGAACTGACCGCTAAGTCACTGACTGATAACTTTTCAGTCTTAAACCCTCCAGACTTTAACTGAGGCAACGAGTTCAGAGAAGTCACAAAAACTTGAAATCATTTTACAAGTTAATATTTATATATATTTATCAAGTGTAACACAGTCATACAAAAACATTTACTTAGAAATATAATTCACACATACAAAAAGAGGCTTTTTTTGTCCCTTTTATATCCTATTTTAGACAAAATTATGAAACTCAGAAAATAACATGAATGCATTAGTTCTAGAAACTGGAAACTGCATATATAAAGCAGATCCAATCCTCTATACATTCTCTCAAATCCAAATAATGAGGCTTACTGAACTGTACTCTGAAAATCAATCAACTTAAATAAATCTTTGTTTGATTCAGATGAAATATGCATATTTCAACGGTGGACGGTCCAGGCAGAACAAGTACATAAAATGATCTGTAAGTCAAAACATTTCATACAAAAGGGATGGTCTTAATAAAACCCATGCAATATCAAGAAGAAAGTTGCTGAACTTAAAAACTTCAGTTTTGAAATAGGTATTTTTTGGGGACCATTTATAAAATATAAAAAAACCCAAAACTGTTGAAAACCAAGAGTTGATGTAGAAAAAAGCCGAGGGTGAAAAAACTACCAAATGTATTAAAACCATCTAAAGCCAAGTAAGATTTACTTGAACTATATAATTCGAACGGGCGTAAGTGCATATTCTTTGTAGATTTTAACTGACTACAACATGTAAAACTGGCAATCAATTAAAATACAATTAAATAGAAGTTTACAAGTCTTTTGGCCATTATGTAAGTATTAAGAAATGAAGTGAATTGCCAATTGAAATAAAGAAGCTTACATACATCCCATAAACGCACAAATGGTCAAAAATGTACGATAATATTGTGTGATAAAACATACTCATATCAAACAAAGGCCTTTTAGGCACTTGCATTAGGAAACATTCATATTATAAATAAGCACTTAATTTCACTCCAAAAAATAAAGCTAATTTTCCCCAACTGCACCTATTACTTAAGAACTACATCATATATATTAGGGATGCTTTTAAATGGATGATTTTATGGAGAAAATCAACTGAACCTGAAAAAATATGAATCCACCTGTTTTACGGACAAATTAAAAAACACAGAATTTAAAGATAATTCCAGTGAGGCACAAACGAGACCCTATAAAAACATTCTACCATTCAGTATGACCAAGAGAAGATAATACAGTCTAATGATAAAAAGTAAAACCCACAATTTACAGTCCTGTACAAAAGGGGCCCCGTCGAAACATTCTTTCATAAAACAAATAATATCACACACACACACACACACACACACACACACACACACACACACATAGAACAAAAAGAGAAAACCTGAACTTTGACAACCCTATACAAATTGCGGGATTTCATCTTCTAGGTCATCAAACTGCTGCATTCGTTTCAGCCTCGGTCTCTGACAAGTCGGATTTCCGTCGGGCAGGCCATGCTCCTTAGAGTTCTCTTTAGATGGAAAAATCGGCTGTCCAGGACAAGCCGAGGTGCTGCCTGAGTCTGGAACTGCTTTCAGCCCGTGAGACTGGGGATCGTGAGCTGTGTCAGGAGGTGCTGCTGCCAAGGGCGAAGCTGGCTTCTCCTCATCGCCCCTGACACTGCTGGCGGGAGGGCGGGGTTTATAAAACGTTGTCCAGTGCTGGGGCTGGAGTGTCCTGGGTGCTCTGACAGCAGAGTAGGAGTCGGAGGACCGTCTCTCTGCTAGCTCTTTCGCTGGCCTGCCTCCTGCCTCTGTGCATGGCTTACTGGGTTGGGTAGCACTGGCAGGATGGTCCCCATGGCCCCGGATGCTTGCTGGCACTGCTTTTTCCTGTAGTGTGCTGGGAGCAATCATGGCAGTTTTGGCACTTGCGTTGTCTTGTTCATACTGTCTGTCTCGAGTTTTGTGTACAGTTTGCTGGTCAAAGCCATTATATTTGGGACAAACAGTAGTAGGGGTGTCTTTTCTATTAACGCCTTCAAAAACAGGACTCTTAGAAAACTTGTCAGGACTTACGTATCCCATATTTCTGCCATTTCTCTCACCAGGAGGGCTTGCAAGAAGTAGTAGTCTGTCTACAGGCAAACTTACAGGTCTGACCCTGGTCCTTGGAGTATGCCTCTCCACGTTGTACGCCGCCCTGCCACACTTCAGAGCGAGCGGCTTAGGGCATTTATGCACCTCTTCCACTTTCTGGGATGCTGATTCAAGTTCTTGGTCTAGAAGCAAACGTACTTTGTTGTCTGGAAAAGAAAGATTTATTTAATTCTGTAGCACAAGGTTAATAAGAGTTTAAGTGAGTTATATACAGACACTCTCTCCAAACAACATGGGCCTTACATATTTTTTCCAACATGATATTCTCAGTTATTTACTTTGAGGATTTAAATAGTCACGTAGTATTAAAGGTATACTTTTAATTTTAAAAAGTTAGAATTTTAAATTGATTTAAAATTCAGTACAATAAGCAGCAACAAAGACATTGTTAGTAAAAAGCTAGTAAAAAAAAAAAGAAAACAAAAAAATACTTGAAGTATTTTTTTTTTTTTTAAGACAGGGTTCTCGCTGTATTACAAGCCTCCTGTCACACCCTTTAGGTAGAACAAAGCATATTAAATACCTCAGCTGCTCCTCATAAGGCTGAATAGTTTCTTTTTAAGTAAAAACCACCATCTCCCCATATATTCTTTTTTTTTTTTTTTGAGAGAGAGATTTTTGCTAGAGGGCGTGTGCGCTCGCCAGACAGACAGAGAGAGACATAGAGACAGAAAGCGAGAAATCAATCACCCCCCCAGGGGGGATGGTCACGCCGCAATCCCTTCTCCTCCATTCTCCTCTCGGGATCTTGGGCACGTACGCACACGCACCCGGCGTGAGTTTTAAGCCACCGGGTCCAGGAAGCGAACCGCGGTTGACTCCGTGGGAGTCCAGCGACCTAGCCATTACGCTAACTGCTGGTTCCCTCCCCATATATTCTTTGCTTTCAGGTTTACTTCTCCTCTTTCTTCTGTAGTCTGGTCCTGTGGTCCCTGCTTCCCTCACCTAGAACCTCGGTGCCTCAAAACCCCATCTCTTCTGCTGTCTATTCTAAAATAATTCCAGGGCCCGGAAAGTTCTGGGCCTCTGCACATGCTCTTCGTTGCTGGACTTCAAGCATCTCTGGGCCTTGACACCCCCTGACCGGACTACACCTGGCCTTGAGCACAGCATTCCACCCTCTTCCCAGGGCCTGCTCCTCCCACGTGTCTCAGGCAGTGGTCTGCAGGCAGGTGTCCCGCAAAATCACTTTCCAGTGGTCTTCTCATCTGGCCACCTTCCTCACCTGGAACTGCAGGCCTCTCTTTCCTAGGTTCCGAGCCAACACTGTCTGAACTTACTTTTCTGGATCCCTCCCCACATTATTATAGAGCATCCCGAGGGACCCGACCCATTGCAGTCACACTATAAGCACAGAAGTATGTCCTTCAAGTTCTGAGGGAGAAACAGCACCGTGGAGATCAGGGCAGACTCCGAAGCCCAGTGCTGGTTCTAGCTCGGCTCTAATTTACCACTTCTGCATTGGGCAAGGGAATCTCAGCATCCCTAGGTGTCCCATCTGTCCAAAGACACTTGTGAGTGCATCTATGCTGTTCTGTATTTCAGATCATCTAGTAAGGCAAGTTCTTAGAATCACAAAATAAGAAGCACTCAAAAATTATATTTAAAAATTTTTATATTCCTATTCCTAATAATAATCCAGCTTTATGGAACAGTAGAAACAGTGCAGGTTTAAGAATCAGATAGGGTTCAAATCTTGACTGAACAATTTACTACTGACACAACCCTCAGTATTAACGTTTCTCAGACTATCAGTTATAGGCTGAATGAAACTAACCTTACTCCATATAGCACAGGATTGTTACGAAGATCAAATCAGGAACAGTAAACACATGCTTAGCAGAGGGCAGGCAGGTAAATGTTAGCTCCCTTCCTTTTCAGACACTATTAAAACACATGGCTATAGTTTTAAAAGTTGGAATTCAACTCCAACAATGTAGAATTACATGGGAAGTTTTCTACTAGCTTGACAGCTAACTTATCACTGCAACTAGAATGTCATACAGAGCAGCAGTGACTAAAACAACTGCTGTCAAGGAAATAGCAGACATGCACATGCATGCTCTCATGTGTTGAAGGCTGGCCACATGTGGAAAGCATATGGAAACATTTGAGTAGTCTCAATTTTTAAAATTTCCAGAGTCTATTTTGACTATTTATGAGCAATTAGATCAATACACTGAACTACAGCAACAGATGATATTAATACACCGTCATAGAGCTCAACACATTTCTACCTTGACTTTAGTTGATGGCAAAAGCAAAAGTGAAAACTAAAAAGAAATTCAGAGGAGCATAAAAACTGTGAACTCCAAGATGTCTTTTTTTTTTTTTAAAAAAAAGAGATTTTTCTTATAGAGCATGTGTACTGGCCAGAGAGACAGAAAGTGAGAAATCACCCCCCAGGGGGGATGGCCACGCCACAATCCCTTCTCCTCCATTCTCCTCTTGAGATCTGGGCATGCATGCACACCTGGCAGCTTAGCCCAGCATGAGTTTTAAGCTGCCAAGTCTGGGACTCAAACTGTGGTCGGCTACGTGGAGTCCAGTGATGTAACCAATACAGCATCTGCTGGTCTCCCAAGACGTCTTTTCATAAGAAAGTTTATCACGAAGAAGGAAATTCACTTAAATATAAGGTACACTAGGGCTGGCCCCATAGTGCCGTGGTGAAATATTGACATTCAGAGCCAGATTCCATGTAGCCAACTGTGGTTTGAGTTGTAGCCTCGGAGGCTTGAAAAACCCACTGGATGTATGTGTGCATGTGCCCAGAATCCTAATGGAAGGAGAAATGGAATAAAACGGATTGTGGTGCAATCACGCCCTACTGAGGGCCGCACTCTCTCTCAGGTAAGTACACATGCCCTCTAGCAACATAAAAACATAAAAACAAGGTATAGTAAAAGGCAACTTCTCAATGGTTAGAAACAATAAATTAATTAATAAAGCTTCATTCTCTAACTTTCCTCAACTCCACTCACAATGACTTTTATTCATGGCTTAAGGGCACAGTTTTAAGTCAGTAAACATATTTTGTTCACAGCCACTCACCAGTGAGACACACATCACATTTTTCCAATGCATTCTGCTTGCATTCTGATTCCTCGGATGATGCAGATGGCTCACGAATTTTGCTTTCACTGTCTGCACTACGCATATCCTGTTGGCGAAAGAGAATTTTTAAGCTTGAAGAAACAAAGCCCACCTCAAGATATACCATTTGGCGATCTTAACTCATTAATATAAGAATCACGAAGTTCTAATACAATTCCATAAAGATCAAAACTCACTTCCTTTGAAGAAAAAAAAAGTGACTTCACAGAATGTTCTTGGTCTCTTTCTTCTGATAACAGAGGCTTTAAAAGACAGCTTGGATCCACGTGAGGTGCAGTGACACCTGTGCTACCCACATCTTGCGGCTGGAGGGACCCGTCGAAGATCTTCTGTGAGTAGCTAATGAGGAACTCTACCAACCGTGCTTGACTGGAGTATTCAGCAAGAGAGGAGATGGTGACAGGAGCGGTTGTGGGCCTGGGCCTAATGAGACTTGGTCCAAATATAACCCCCAAGTTCTTGGAGTTCATCTTGTTTTCTTCTGCATGATCTACCACCCTGCAAAGTGGAATACACAAGGCTATATGAGATTTGCCAGCTGAGTTCCTTGATGGTGGTTTTCCCATGGGTTTGGAAGGGTGAAGGGAAAATGGGCTGCAGAAGTCTAGGAATTATCCCTCAACAAAGCTGCTAGGAAAAGGAAAAGGAAAAATACATTTATTTAATTAAAATACAGACCACACACACTATTGGGTTTCAAAGTATTGTATTAGGATTAAATTTAAATAAGTAGAGGAATTACTGCAGTTTTATCAGAGAAAGAAAAATAATGGGGTTTTGTACCACCCTGTCACACTAAAGTATTATATCCTTCTGGGTCTTTATACTGGACCCCAAACAGCATTATCAATTTCTCTCACTGACCACAGATAGTCTTCAAGCCTACTTGACTGTCCCTCCTAAAGACCTCTCTGCTCTATCTCCACTCCCACTGTCCTGGCCACACCTCAAGCTCTCATCATCTTTTATGTCTAAGACTTTCAAGAAGAGGAATCACAGTAAAGGCCTCTCCCCCAACCCATTCTCCATACTGCTGCCAGAATGATCTAACAGGCAAATCTGAGCATGCTGAATTCCTGGCTCAAAATTCTTTATTGGGCACAGATGGGAGATGGTTAACTCACCTGTGAGGCATGCGAGATTTTCTTTATCTGGCCTCCACCCTGCTTGGTCCTGCTACTGCTCTGCTATATGGTTGCCTAACTGTGTTACTTACACAAGGCATCTTCACAAGGTTACTAGAGAATGTGTATTATGGAGAAATGGCGTGGATTTCTTTTCTTTTTTTTCTTTTTTTTTTTTTGTCGCACCAAAATAAACTAATACCTTAATTCTACTTTTCCACAAACTTTTAACAGTCCCCTGTGGGACCAGCAGGTGGTATGGTGGTTGACTGACTGTGGTTTGAGTCCTGGACCTGGAGGCTTGCTTTCTCACTTTCACTCCCTCTCTGGTGAGCACATGTACACTACGCAAATTAAAACATAATAAATAAAACTAAATAAATCTTTAAAAAATATATGTCCCCTCATACTTCTCAAATGCAAATATTCCTGTGTGTTTTCATGTCAATTTTCCTCTGCCTGGAATACTTTTTCTACATTCTTTGTCTACCAACCACTGTTCATTTCTTTAAAGTTGACTCAACTACTTCCTCTGATTTATATCCCCACCCAATCTTCCTCTGCGTGCTGTCCCTAGCTCTGTGAGAACACAGGATGCCGTAATGTACTTGTCCGCAAGTCTGTTCCCCAAGCTGATAAGCCCAACAGATGGCAGAAACCAAGCTGTCATCTTTGTTTCCCCAGCCAGGGTCTGGCATATAGGAGGCATCTGAGGGAATGATGCGGTTGTATGGCTATGTAGTAAATGGCCCATTCTCTAACGTGTTAGAAAGGAAACATTCATTTTAGAAACACCACCACAACATTCTTGAAAGTTTTTAACATGACTGAACTGTACATTATAAAATAGTTACATCAGTGCATTTTGTTATGTTTACTTTAACTAACCCCCCCCCTCCCAAATCAATTATCCATCCACTAGTGGATGGTCTACTTAAATAAAATTCTTACCGCCTAAGATGTATAATGAGGTAATGAAGACTATTAAAATTTGATGCTGGCAGTTGTCGTAAAAGGTCTTTGCTTTTTAGGAGTATCCGATTTATTTCTATACACGTATTTGGCCATTTTTTGTCCTCAGGGGTATCTTTTTTTGTCTCATGTTCTTCATTTACATGTTGGATCTCTTTTGCAAGGTCAATAAATTCCTTGTACAACCGGAATAAAACAAATGGTTCTGGGAGCTAAAGAAATCAAATTACATTAGGAATATCATTGTCTATTTTTTGTTCACAGTCAACTACTATTAACTACATGAATTCACAAGATTTAAAGCCAATCTGCATTTAGAAATGTACATATGTTTGCTACAGACATGGCTGATAGGTACATCTGAAATCATCACCATAAATCAGATCTATATTCAAAAGAGTTCACTGATAATCAGGAAAACTCTACTTAACACTACACAACCGAACTGAAGAATTGGTGTATATCTTACACCATTACATTCTTGACTACCCCAAAGTCAGCATGATCTTCTTCAACCTTTTTCTTTTTAAAATAACCCAGGATAATGTACAAAGTATATCAAATTAATTAGCAAAAGCTGATAACGCAAGTTTTAATGGATATTAGAGATAGGGAAAAAAAAAAAAAAAAAACCAACAACAACCCAAACGCTATATAGGACCCTTATGTTTAACTTGGACCAGACTGAAGATTAATCTCAGACAAGATAACCTACCAGAAAGACACTGTGAACATTTTATTCATCTTAAGTTTTAAATACAACTTAAATTGTCTCCTCAGTATGTTAAAAGAAAAAGCTCCTCTCTAACTAACAAAAGGCATGCCATTTTGATTTGCACAATGCCATGACACAATTTTATGTCTGCAGTGCTCTGTGTTGGCAAATACGCTGTACCTCTGGCTACCTGATGTTCTGTATCATCTACGGTGGGCTAAGCGCCCATTCTATGGTTTCTCCTGCTGGTCCTAAAGAGAGGCAGCCTTGCGATCAATTCCTACCTCCACGACTCTGGGAACTGAAAGAAGTTACTTAACATCTTGAAGCTTCAAGTCACCCCCATGGTAAATGAGAAAAATGAAGACAATTTTCCAATACTGTTCTCAAAACTGGACATGTCAGGGCTGGCAGGTGGCGTGGTTGTTAAGGGCTCTGGATTCCCACATGGCCGACTGCAGTTTGAGTCCCGACCTGGTGCCATGCTTTCTCACTTTACCTCCTCTCTCTTTCTTTGCCTCTCACTCTGTCCCTCTCTGGTCAAATTAAAGTAAGTAAATAAGTAAAGTTAAATAAAATAATTAACAACAACAACAAAAATTAGACATGCTTCCCTCAAGAAAGTCTTGGTCACATAATTTTCCTGAGACAAAATGAGAACTGATAATATTAGATCCTATTCACTTTATCTCCCTGAGAAAGTAGATAAGATAAAGAATGACTTATCCTAAGAGTTATCTTTTCTTTTCTTTCTTTTTTTTTTGAGAGAGATTTTTGCTATAGGGCACAGGTGCTTGCCAGAGAGACAGAAACACGAAAAGCAAGAAATCACCCCCCAGGGGGGATGACCACACTGCAATCTCTACTCCTCCATTCTCCACTAGGGATCCTGGGCACACACACACATATGCCAGCATGAGGTTTAAACCACTGTATCTGAGACTTGAACCGCAGTTAACTATGTGGGAGTCCAGTGATGTAACCATTACGCCACCTGCTGGTTCTAAGACTTATATTTTCAAAGGTGCTCAGCCTTTGTTTTTCAATTAAGAATCCTATAAAATATGATTAAAGAGATACTAATATCTTCCTGGACTAACATGGCAGATTCCAATAATTACACCTAATTTCTTTCCCTCCTGCAACCCCACTAACATACAGTTTACATTCACAAGGACTAGAAGAATAGGAGAGAAGACAAAAGCAACATCGTTATAAGCTAAAGACTAGAGGAACAAGTGCTGACTTAGTCTCAAGAAAGTTAAATTCCCAAACTGTGGTCTACCATAATTTACAGAATCCTACGGAGACTCAGGGACTGCCAGCACGAGGTCCTCTTACACCAGGGAGGGGTAGGCTATATAAGAAGGCTTGGAGCTCTACATCCCTGTCTCTCCTCCATGCTCCTGAGCAATGCTCCTGAGCAATCTCTTCCCCAGAAGTCTAGAGATTTCCTCTCTGGGAAATGTGAAGAGGGGGGTCTCTGGATAGGCACTGCCAAGGAAGAGAAATAGGTGGGCAACTGAGCATTGTGTGACTCTACACATGCTGAATGGGAGCTCCTGCAGCCCTGCTACCCTGCTTGGCTCCCAGAGTCTGGTGCCACACTTTCAGGCAACAAAAACCCTTTTCTGGGGTAAGAGACCAACCCAAGAACAGGGGCCTACAGACAGAGACATCAGGAGCTTCCCAAATAGCTGACTTAGATCACCCTGCAATAAAGTCAAAGTCTTTAGAGACTTCATGTGTTCAAGAACTTCTAAAAAGATTTCAATTCCCAAGTCTTTCAACTTAAGCAGACAACTATGGAAGACAGAAATCAACATGGGCAGGAAAAAAAATCAACTTCATGGTCTAGAACTGTGTTGTCAATATGGTGGCCACACTAGCCACAGATGGCTGCTGAGCACTGACCACTGGTCCAGATTGAGATGTACTCTAAATAAAAAATTCATACCAGATTTCAAAGACTCAGTATTAAAAAAATACATTAAAATATTCCATTAATAATTTAAAAATACTGATTAGATGTTCAAATGATTAAATATGTTAAATAAATAGTAAAATCTGCATCATTTGTTCATTTTTATTTATGTAGCTACCTGAAATTTTAATATTATACACATGGCTTATTTTATCTACTGGGCAGGGATAGGAAGCTAAGCAGAGAAAAGAACTCTCAACAAAGAGAAAAAAGTCTATGAATATCTTAAAGTAGATAAAATGTCATTCATTAAAAAAAGAAAGAACACTACTTAGCCATAAAAAACAACAAAACCCTGGTTTTTGATGGGAAGTAGATTAATATGGAAGATTTACTGCTGAGTGAAGCAAGCCAGGCTATGAAGGAAAGGCACTGTATGTCCCCACTTAATATATACCAAGCGTTTGCACTCTATGACTGAAACTGATTGACTAAAGGATATAGAAACACAGTATATACATGTAAATACCAGATACAGTGTGTGTGAAAGGGGAGGGTCTGAGAAAAGACATTTAGAAGAAAAACAGGGAGGCAAAGCATTAATGGGACAAAGAAATGTGGTATTATCTGCTGAGGGTACTTTATAGTTTTATTAACTGTACTAGGGAGAAATGTTCACCTGTTGAAATATCCATGTTGTAAGCCAAATAATGTGACTGAATGTATAAAAGAAAATGAAATCCAAAAAAAAAAAGAGAAAGTACACTTAAGAACAAACTGAAAAAAAAAAGAGAAAGAATGCTATTAAAAAAAAAAAAAGAAAGAAACAAAAAACAGAAAACCAAGTCCTTGGAAATTAAAACATGATCTCAGAAGTAAATAGTTTACAATAGGGAAGGATGATAAAACTGAAGAAATTTCTTAGAAGTATTGGAAGAAAATAAAAACAAAAAAGGAAATGGATACTAGGGAAAAGGTAAGGGAACCATAGAACCAGGATAGGTTGTCAAGTATTCAAATATCAATTCCGGATATAAACAGCGAAGAGGAAATGAACAAAAGAACAAAAGAAAAGTCCCAAGAACTAAAGGACTAACCAGACTGACGGAACTCCAGTGGCCAGAATAGTGGAGAAAAAAAATACATCTACATCAAGGCACAATGTTGTGAAATTTTAGAATAATGAGGAGAAAAAGAAGGTTCTACAAGCTTTCAATAGGACACAACAACAGGCCATCATGAGTCATGATGTATTTTTTTTCTATGCAAAAATGTGTCAAAACTTTCCCCACAAGCCAATATAAAATTAGGAAAGAAATGAGAACTTCAGGCTTTGAAGAGAACAAACACTGCCGGTCATGTGCCATGGTACAGAGGTGGCACAACATTCGGTGATGCTGAAGCCATACAGGAGGGTCCCAGGTTTGCTTCCCAAGGTCTCCCTGTACACGCCTCATGCCCCATATTCCTGACTGGCTGGGACTTGGGGCAAGTTTGTAGTGTGAGGATCCTGCTGGGGGTGCCTGCCTCTCTCGCTCTCATTTAGAAATAAAGAAAAAAAAAAATAGAAAAACTCAATACCTGTAAAATTCTGAAGACTAGAATACTATAACTTGCTATACTAATCCATACTACTGTACTTCTATTCAACAGTAGAATAAAGACATATATGAATAAATAAGATTTCAAATATTTTCTTCTTTCCCACTTTAAGAACAAACATAACAGGAGAATAACCAAAAACGAGGAAGACATGAGACCTGTTCTCTCATAAAAGGGGAGGGTAGAAAAGAGACCCCGGGATGAATACTAGTTACCATGTTAAACAGAATCTGTATCAGAGCAACTGAATTTCAGAGACCGAAGTGGGCTTGGCTCAGATCATTTTTGTACTTGGCTCTCTAGACGATATGCTGTCAAGTTCCTAAGTGACTAAGGTCACTTATTTCACCCCACAGATGTGTTTTCTTTGGATCTACTCCTGCAAACTGCAGGTACTACAGTGAACACAATAAAAAGAAAACAGAGCCATCCACTCTCTGGCCAGCTGGACTTCCAGTCCCCAGCTTACAGGGTAGCCCTAACCAATGCCCCAGACATGGGGAGCTTCATGTTCCCAGGATACATTTATGACACTGCCCACTGACTTCCCACAATGGCTCCTTTAAAATATCAATGAAGGCAATGCCAGTCCATGATCTAGACACTGTTCTACTTACTCATTTTACATAACAGTCAGTCCTGGCCTTTCCTTGCATAGCTACTAGGTCATCAGGAAAGTCATGATGCATTTTTGCACAGGAAAACAAAAAAATACGTCATGACTTTTCTGATGACCCAATACATTTATGCTTTCAAGTAGGTTTTCTAAAATTTAATAATCTATTGTTTAGGAATAAACAATAGACATTTAAACCATTAAGAAGAGGGAGATACTTATCAATATGCTTAGAAAAGACCCTACTAGGAACAGCAGATAGTGTAATGATTATATCACTGGACTCCCATGTAGTCAACCATGTAGTGGTTCGAGACCCAGACCTGGCAGTTTAAAACTCATGCCAGTCTTGTGTGTGTGTGTGTGTGTGTGCCCAAAATGCCAAGAGGAGAATGGAGAAGAAGGGATTGTGGCATGGCCATTTCCCTGGGGGATGATTTCTCATGTTCTCTCTCTCTGGCAAGCACACATGCCCTATAGCAAATCTCTCTGAAAAAATAAAAAAAGAAAGAATAGACCCTACCTGGGAGAGCCCATAGGGGTCTTTAATAAGATATGATAATATTCTATTTTCTTAAGTTGGGGAAGTGAGTTTATTATTTATTATTTCTTTTTTAAAGAATTATTTTAATTTTATTTATTATTATTTTAAAATTTTCTACAGGCCAAATATGTGCTCACCAAAGAGTGACAGAGAGGAGAGGGAGAGGAGGAGTCAAAAGGTAAGCTGCCAGGTCTAGGACCTGAACCGCGGTCAGCCATGCGGAAGTTCAGTGCCTTAACCACTATGCCATCTGTAGGCCGCTATTTATTGTTTCCTAAATTCTACACGTATTTTATATACTCTGATCTGTACATTAATAATCATAATCAGAAAGGTATCAATATAGTCCGCTGATGAAAACACATGCACAGCAAATGTTACCGGTAAAATACAAATCATATTTTTGCTCTTTTTTCTTTAATGGTGGGTTTCAAGGGTAAAAACTTACCTGTCGAAGGTATAATTTCAGGACATCACATATGTCATGAGAACTAAATTCTGAAATGTCTACCAAGTGCATTCCATTTTCAAAAGCTTGACACAGTTTTTCAGTTTTTACTTTGTTTCCACACACACGATAAATTCCCTTGAGAAGAAAAGGGGGGAAAATTGTAAAATTCTGCTTTAGTAAAAACGGTTAAATGTAGACACCTAGATATAGTTGATTTTTCTACTTCAATTTCTATTAGTATTTTAGGGAAAAAAACCTAGTTAGTGCCATATGGGGTAACATTTTCCAAATAAATATGATCAATTCAATTATTAAAAACTGAGGACATTATTTTTCCTTAAAGTACCTTTTTCATGAGAACAAATCATATAGTCATTTATGTTTTTAAAATTTGAAGAATTATAATGTACCTGTAGACACAAAGCTCTATTTTCAATCTCTGAGGCACATATTTTAAGTATAAAAGGGATGCCATCTGGTTCCTTTTTTGCAACTTGTGTGAAATCTGCTCCAAATAAGTGTATTTTTCCTGGAAGTTTCTGATGACCACAAATGATGACTAAATTTTCCAGACACTTTCGGTGACAAACAAGGAGACACTATAAGAAATAGACAGTTTAAAACTGGTTAATTCACCTTATGAATAATCACAACTGGGCAAACTATAGGGAGAGTAGTAACAAAACAAAAATGACTTAAAACGGAACTACTTGTGCTTTAAATACATTTTATAGCAAAATAAAGTATAAAATTATAGAAGGTACACTGTGGTATAATAAAAATACATTTGCAAGATATTCTAATAAGTAAAATTAATAGCAAAGCAGTATGCAGCAAAAAACACAAAGGGAACAATGTAATTCCAGAAAGATCTTACCTCTTCACATTCAACACCCTGGAATACAACGATGCTTTCACAATCCCGACATTTTGTGGGAGATCTCAATTTGCGAAACTTGTGAGTGAGAGCTGCCTTTGACATCAGTGTTTTTTTAAAAGCTCCAAGGGAATTGGGTCCTTAAAACAGAAATAGATTAGTACATAAAAACTGTAAGATGACAGAAAAATTATACCATATTATACTGATTTTGAACCATCTTCAGACTATAATCATTCAATACTATCAAAAACTATTATTTTGAATTTGTAACAACAAAATAAAGATCCAATTTATATGTGTCTTACAAACCATACACATTTAGCAAACATTTTAGTTATGAGAAAATCCTACCACCAAACCAGTAAGATAATTCCAAAATGGGGACCAGCAGGTGGTATGGTGGTTAAGGCGCTGGACACTCCCACATGGCTGACCACAGTTCCAATCCCGGACCTGGTAGCTTGCTTTCCCACTTTCTCTCTCTCTCTTTCTGTCTCTCTCTGGTCAAATTAAAATAAATGAATGAATAAATAAAATTAAATAAATAATTCTTTTTTAAAAAAAGATAATTTCAAAATAGTATGGCATAATGTTTGCAGAATCAGCAAATTTATATTGTTATTAATAGGCCCTGCATGAAGATGGGAAGAGTGGTTGATAGGTGGCATTATACTTTTAGAAAATGCCCCTATAGGGGCTGACAGGCAGTGTGGTGGCCGGGGGTGCTGGGCTCCCATATGGTCAACCAAGGTTGGAATCTCAAACCTGGTGGCTTGCTTTCTTACTTTCTCTTTTTTTCTCTTTCTCTCACTCTGGTCAAATTAAAATAAATAAAGTTAAATAAAATAATAATAAAAAAGAAAACGCCCCTATACATGCTAAAAAGAAAGCCATGACGAAGTTAGCATGTCAGCATTACTTGCCTTAAGGGTAAGGTTATTCCTGATTTATTGTAATATTATGGATGATACTACCTGGTTGTATACTGAATTACCATAATGAAGGCCAGACACTCTACTAATTTAGCAAATAGTGCCAAGTTTGAGGTATTGAATGTATTAAACTAATTTACATGAGTCTAATTCAAGCCATTAAAGTAAATGACTTTCTTTTTATATCTTTCAACATACACAACTTTCCTTCTCCTCAAATAGTATACTTATTTACTTTTCCTGCTTGGCTTCTTGCATTGTTTTTCTTTTTTATTAATTTTGAAGAGGTTTTTATTAAGAATTTCTTATTCACTGAAATCGTTTTTAACAGTAACTCACCATATTAAGTTTATAAAAGAGCAGAGTATCTACCTATTTTAGCCCCATACCAATATTTTTAGTCTAGTAGATTTTGTTCCTAATTCTTATAGTTGTATGTGTAACATCTGATTAATACATTATCAGTCCATACATGCACTTAATTGTTGAGATATATTTAAGTCACTGTCATGACTTTTCTTTTTTTGAAGAGGTTTTTGCTATAGGGCGCGTGCGCCCGCCCGACAGACGGAGAGAGACATAGAGACAGAAAAGTGAGAAATCTTTTTTTGAGAAATTTTCACTATAGGGCGCATGTGCTCGCCAGACAGACAGAGACAGACAGAGAAACAGAAAGTGAGAAATCACCCCCCCAGGGGGGTTGGTCACGTTGCAATCCCTTCTCCTCCATTCTCCTCTTGGGATCTTGGGCAGGCACGCACACGCGCCCGGCGTGAGTTTTAAGCCACCGGGTCCGGGACGCGAAACGCAGTCGACTACGTGGGAGTCCAGCGACATAGCCATTACGCTAACTGGTGGTTCCCTCTTTCTCTTTTTTTAGAGAGGTTTTTGCTATAGGGTGCGTGTGTGTGTGCGCTTGCCAGAAAGACAGAGAGACAGAAAGCAAGAAATCACCCCCCAGGGGGGATGGTCACGCCGCAATCCCTTCTCCTCCATTCTCCTCTCGCAATCTTGGGCACGCATGCACACGTGCCCAGCATGAGTTTAAGCCCACTGGGTCCAGGACTCAAACCACAGTAGACTACATGGGAGTCCAGCAACATAGTCATTATGCCAACTGCTGTTCCCATGACTTTAATACTCAGCAAAGTAATGATTCCTTACATTATTTTGGGGCCTCCCCCTGTTGTCTAATGGTTAAGGGAGCCAGATCCCACAGAACTGACCCCAGTTGGAATTCTGGCTCTATTGGCCTAAAAAACACAATGGGTGCATGTGTATGCCCAAAATTTCAAAAGGATGGAGAAATGGTGAGTAGGAATTGTAATGTGACCATGTCCTATTGGGAGATGCTTTCTCCTTCCCTGTCTGTCTTTCTCTTTGGCAAGCACATTAATGCACTGACAATTAATGACACACACTATTTTTCTAGTATCATGCAGTGCTATTATTTGAACTGGCTTAGTGAGACTTAATTCAGGTGGGTACAATACCAGCTTCTGAAGGGGAAGGCGGTTCTCTTTCATCTAGATCATCTGCAGAAGACATGGTTCCACTGGATGGAGTTCGTGGAAGTTTTCGATGAAAGTCTCCTAAAAAAGAATTGTGAATATAATTACCTGATTATTCTCTGTGGAAGTATAAAAATGTGCAATGACAACATTTTTGTCATACTAGTTTATTAGCTTCAATTGTAAAAATTTACTATCACTCTTACATTCCAAACAGAGAGTTCTGCTACTTATTCCTGAGAATAAAAGGAAGAAATTTAACCAAATCTGACTTTTCCAAATAAATTTAAAACTGGGTATCACATAGTCCATCCAATGAGACCTTATTGAAAACATCCTTTTTTTTCCCTCAAGTTTTTGTCATGCGGTATGTGCGCTCACTGGAGAGACACTGTGAGAGGAAAGTGAGAAATCATTCCCCAGGGAGGATGACCACACTGCAATCCCTTCTCCCCCACTTTCCCCTGGGATTTTGGGTGCACATGCACGCATGCCTGGCATGACTTTCAAGCCACTGGTTTTGGGACTAGAATTGTGGTCAGCCATATGGAGTCCAGGACCATAACCACTACACCACCTGCTGGCCCTGCTAATTGCTGATGGTATCATTTGTAAGCTCCACAAAGACTGGTCATATTTTCCATTTATGTCTTGTATCTGACAGTGACTGGCATGATAAAGTTGTTATTAAATTCTTACTGAATTAAGTTACAAATAAATGTACACAATACAAGCTAAAGCTTCTAAACTACACAAAAATCTCTAAATACAAAAATAAAGTAGTAACGTATTGCTCTGTACTGTAAGAGGAAACTGGGAACTGGGAACATCAGTGATTCCTGGTCAGGAGCTAAGACCACAGGAGGTAAACCACATCAGCAAAGGCTGTGCTGTATGTGGCACAGGACATTTGGACGAGCCCTAGAAGATGAGCTTTGTTTTCTGTTGAAATTAGCAACAGTGCTCTATCTAAGGGGATTCAGGAGAGCCAGCCCCTTAGCCTAGTGATTGAGAGATGGATCCCATGATGTAGAGCACAATTTGAATCCTGGCCCTGGTGGCCTGAAAAACACATTGGGCCCATGTGTGTGCACGCTCCAAATTCCAAATGGATGAAATGGAGAAGGGCGTACGGTGTGATCATGTCCCACTGTGATGGTACTTTCTCTCTCTTTTGTCTCTCTCCATCTCCCCTCCAACTCAGGAAAAAAAATTCACTTTAACTGAAGGCCTTAATATTCAGAAAAGCTTTTTTCTAATGATTCTGAACAATATCTCTCCTCCAAATAATTTTCTTCATAATAAACTTAATGGTGATAGTCTAGTTTTTTCTTTTTTTTTTTTTTTTTTTTTTTTTTTTTTTTGAGAGAGAGATTTTTGCTCTAGGATGTGTGTGCTTGTCAGAGAGACAGAGACAAGTGAAAAATCACCTTCCAGGGAGGATGGCCATGTCACAATCTCTTCTCCATTCTCCTCTCAGGATTTTGGGCATACATGCACAAGTCACTGGGTCCGGGACTTGAACTGCTGTCGACCATGTGGGAGTCCAGCACTTACCCACTACACCACCTGCTAGCCCCACAGTTTTTACATAGTATTTTTGCTTTGAATGTGTCCTCAATGACTGTGAAGTCACAAGGTTGCATATTTCATTTTAGAACTATTCTAACTTTAAATTGTTTCCTCATATTATTGTACAGAAATCTTGTCCCTATTAATCTAAGTTTTTGGTCATATTTTTTTCTAAATTAGCAAATAAGCACTCTAATCCCTTTCCATTTCCAGTATTTGAGGACAGCTGTCATGTCCTTCAATTTTACCTTTCTCCAAATCTTTACCTGTTTATCATGTGATCTGGTTTCCAAACTTTTGTTTTTATCATATGAAGTCTTACAGAATTCCAAATAATTTAGAGTTTGCTCTAGATCTGTTGTAATGTCTAGGATCAGCTAGAATCGCTTTGCTTTTACAAAGCTAATTATAAATACTCAGTTAAGTACATATTTAGGCTCACATCTCCAGGATGGCATTTGAGTAGCAGTAGCTTTTAAAGAAAGTGGCAAAGTAGCAGTTGACAGTCTACAAACCACAGTGTTGTGTGGAAATTTTTCTAACTTTATTTACTCTTTTATATTTAAAGAAATTTATCTAAATGAATAAAGTTTCTATAATACCTAAAAGACTAAAATAAAAAAAGTCTTAGAATGTAAGGTGAATTAAATCCTATCCTCTATCCCCGGAGATCCTGGGAGGAAGGAACACGTCTAGAAAGCATAAGACTAGCGAAGTCTTTGGAGGAGGAATGCAGAAAAATTGCTGAAATGAGAATGGGCTCACGTGTTATCTCCTTCTCCTGCCGTACAACCTACGGCAAGTCAGTTTCTCAGAGGCTACTAAAGAATTCAAAACACCCCCTCTGCCTCTCTGAAGACTGTGAGACAGTCTGTATCAAAAGTATCTTAATGTACATTTAAAAAAAAAAGAGGGACCAGCAGTTGGCATAATGGCTATGTCGCTGGACTCCCATGTAGTTGACAGTGGTTCGAGTCCTGGACCCGGTGGCTTAAACTCATGCCGGGCACGTGTGGGTGCATGCCCAAGATTCCAAGAGAAGGGATTGTGACATGGCATTCCCCCTGGGGGGTGATTTCTCACTTTCTGTCTCTCTCTCTATCTTTCTGGAAAGCACATGTGCACTATAACAAAAACATCACCAAAAAAACAAAAACAAAAAACAAGAATAAGTAATTCCAGGTGTATGAAGTAGCGTAACAACATTGCTCACTATAGAAATTAATTACAAAATGACTCGAGAGGTAATTACTGTTAACTTTATAGAACAGAGTACTATATAGCAGTGAAAATAAAGATAGCCACCCACATCAACATGGATCAAAAAAGAAGATACATGAATGAAGTCATAAAAGAATAGTATGACTCCTCTGTATAACACTCAGAAGAGGGTATACCCCACTAGATAGGGATACGAAAACATTTAAAATAGCTAAGGAATGATTTTTAAAATTCAGGGTAATTATTTATTCTGGTGGGAGATAGGGCACATCATCAATAAGGTGTTTACATAGGAGGCTTCTTTTTTTTTTTGGAGAGGTTTTCGCTATAGGGCGCGTGCGCTCGCCAGACAGACAGAGAGAGACATAGAGACAGAAAGCGAGAAATCACCCCCCGGGGGGATGGTCACGCCGCAATTCCTTCTCCTCCATTCTCCTCTTGGGATCTTGGGCATGCACGCACACGTGCCCGGCATGAGTTTTAAGCCACCAGGTTCGGGACACGAACCGTGGTTGACTACGTGGGAGTCCAGCGACATAGCCACTACGCTAACTGCTGGTTCCCCATAGGAGGCTTCTAACATACTGATAATTCAGGTGGGGTGGTGAACACCTGAGGCTTTGTTTAAACTGCACATTCACTCCCTGCATATGATACAGTTTGTTATAAAAATTAGGTAGCTAAAAAATACTCCCAAAATGATTATTTTAATCCTTCACTGATTTTTGCTGCTACTTTAAATATTTACGTACCTGGACTGATAGATTCTGAATCCAGAGATCTAGATTCACTGCTCCCACCAGTGCTCTCTGAGTCACTGAACATCCCAAATGTCCATGATCTTATAAAAGAAGGACCTTAATAAAAAGAATAAAGTCAAAACATGGCTACAGACGGACTGCATATGGCAAAACAATAATATACAAAATGAGACAATTCAAATTTCCTTAACAATGACCAATTACCAACTTTTAGACAGGCGTTGTGATCGCACCTGTAAATAAGGTTTCATAAAGTAATAATTTAAGTCCTAATATTTTTGTTTTAGTTCAAGTGCTCCAACTTGTTTATAACCACATTTGAACAGTTAGACCTTTTGTAATTAGCACTCTCTCTCCTGTGAAAACTACCTGTCATCTCTGTACTGTTAGAGCATCTGTCCTCTTCAATTTTATTAGAGCTGTCAGGAGGGCGTACGACGTCCTCTAAGGAGTCCGTAGGTCCATATCCAGAAGTTTGGGAACTATTTGTTAATTGTTTATTTAGATTCCTAAGGGGAAAAACAAAAACAAAAACAAAAACAAAACTTAGCACTCAGAAGAATGACTGATAGTCTATTTTATCTTATGTTCAGAAGAATCTGTTATTTTAATGAATGCAGACAGTATCATTAAACTAAATATCAAAAACAAACCATAGTATATGGTTCAACTTCTTATAGAAGATGTGAAAAAAACCGTAAATTATTTGTACTTATGACAGCTGAAAACATGGAAGAAGTAGCAAAAGTAAGTCAATAATTCATGTCATGGTTAAACTTTTCTAGGATAACCTCTATGGAAAAGGCAGATTCAATTTTGTGGACATTCAAAATATGTGTGCCCATCATCTGCCAAAGAAACTTCACATCTCAAAGAGCTGAGGTCTGTGTCACAACAGAAAGCCTTACTTTCAAGTGAGTTACATCTACTCCTGAAATGGATTTACTCAGGGATCATGAAATCATATTTAAAATAATGCTGCCAATGCTAGAAAAGACATCACTCTATACTAGATAGAACTTAGCAATTGATGCTATCTCATGAAACAATTTATCTACACAGTATTCTCACCCATCAACTTTTTCTTCTTCAACTGAACTTGTGGCCTTGACAAATTCGCTGTACTCTTGGCCTGGGTCATAGAGTTTGGCACTATCACAGAGAGACTGCAAGCTGTTCGCCAGGGAGGCGGCCTGCAGGTGCTGCATCTGGAAGAGGTTCACTGTTACCTATGGTCACAGACAAGACAGAAAGGCAGATAAGTCATGGTGTACAGAGTATGATGCAAATACACATTTATCCCCATGGCAACGCCAATTACAGGCCACAGAGCACAACATACAACACTGAAAGTCGCTGTGGGCTTACAATGTTGCCTGAAATTGTGCAAAGTCCAAACCGGAAAAAGAAAAGTAGCTTTGACCTAGTACATAGGAATGATCATTTCTAGCAAAACTGGCCTTACACTAAAAGTTCAAAAATACAACCCATGTCCCTAATGGTTCACACTTTCAGGAGATAGATTCCATGTTTTTGAAGATTACCAGCTCTGTGCTTTGATGGTCTGACCACAAATGCTTAACCTCTTAGTGAAAAATGTGAGGGAGGAGAATTCTAACCACAGAACTATTATGTTGTTTTTTCAATCCCATAAAAATAGATACATTACTATTTACATTTTTTTTAAAGAATTAATTTTAATTTTATTTATTATTATTTTAAAAATTTGCTATAGCACATGTACACTCACCAGAGAGAAACAGAGACAGAGAGGGAAAGTGAGAAAGCAAGTTGTCAGGTCTGGGACTCAAACTGTGGTCAGCCATGTGGGGAGTCCAGCACCATAACCACCACACCACCTGCTGGCTCCTTAGTACTCAGTTTTTATAATTAGATATTATCTTCAATCTATGAAAAAACATTATTTCAGTAAGTTTGTATGAATGCCTAAATATGCTATCACTACGACTACAGTAATAAAAGTAACAGCAACAGAAGCTGACAATGGGTATAATATGCCAGACCCATTATCACAGCTTTATATGATAACTAATTTGACAACTAAAAACCCCTAGGCTTTGGGTATATTATGGCAGGGATCCCTAGCACCCACTGCCTCCCCTATACTGGCATGGTACTGGTCCATGGACTGTTAAGAATTGGGTCACCACAGGAGGAGATGGGTGGTGGGCAAGTAAGTGGAAACTTCATCTGCATTTTCAGCCTCTCCCCATTATTCACATTACCACCTGAGCTCCACCTCCCATCAGATCATCAGCACTCTAGATTCTCATAGGAGTGCAAAAACTTTATTGTAAACTGTGCATGTGAGGAATCTAGGTTGTGCGTTCCTTATGAGAAACTAATGCTTGATGATCTGAGGTGGAGCTGAGGCAGTGATGCTAGCACTGGGAAGAGGCTGCAAATTCTACCTCATGGTGAGTTGTAGAATTATTTCATAATGTATTATAATGTAATAATAATAGAAACAAAGTGCACAAAAAATGTAATGTGCTTGAATCATCTCGAAACCATCCATCCCCCTCCTGCCCTCTATCCACAGAAAAAACTTCCATGAAACTGGTCCCTGGTACCAAAAAGGTTGGGGAACACTGTATTTTGGCAAATAAACAGGTAAGATTATGGTCCTGATGGACCTTTATGTTCTCTTGAGGGGGCTATCAAATCACATATTTCAAATACTTTATGACACTGAAAAATGCTATGAATTCTATATAATACTATCAAATTATGCAGTATAATCAAGTATGTGTTTGTAGAAAGATATTTTCAACATGGTAGGTTAAGGAAGGCCTCTCTGAGAAGGTAACCTCTTAAGTGAGAGCTGATGTGAGGAAAGTCCATGCAGAGCTTCCAGTACAAGATCAATCAAAAGAAGCAGTATTGCAAAACTGAGTGGTAGGGGCCAGTAGATGGCGTGGTGGTTAAGGACACTGGACTGCACATGGCCAACCATGGTTTGAGTCCCAGATCTGGTGGCTTGCTTTCCTCACTTTCTCTCTCTCTCACTCTGTCCCTCACTGGTCAAATTAAAATACAAATACATAATGTTGAATAAAATAATTATTAAAAAAAAATAAAAACTGAGTGCGAGAGGGCTTGTTGTGCTTAAGGAACAGATGAAAGGTCAATGTGGCTGAAGTGAGATAAAGCCAGAAAGAGAAGCAGTCATCTAAATCACGGTAGAGTCTCAATTTAAATACAAGGAAAAGCCAGTGGAGCATTTTTAATAAAGCTATAACATGAGCTGATTTAATCTTTAAAATGTCATTCTGGCTCCTGTGTGGGGAATGTATTTAAGGGAAGTAATGTGAATAAATACCAAATGTCAAATTTCGATTAGCTTAAATGTTATTTCAAAGACTGCCGTGTTTCCTCTTTATCTCTCTTGATACACCAGATGATAGGATGAACTTTTGATTAGTCTCTGAATCGATTCCTCTCCAGTTTAGACAGACATCCAGACATCCCCCCTCAGGATAACTAACTCAGCATAAGCAGTATTTGAAAAGTACACTACAGAATAGCCTTCTGGTATCCCAAGTCCTTTAAGGAGCAAAGGAAATTCAAACTATGTATAAACAGCTTAAGTTCAGGAATTAGCTACATAGGGCGTGCTCTAACTAAAGCTATACTGAACTTTCTTTCTTGATAGGTGATACTAGGAGATTTTAATCGGGTTATTTATAACTTCCCTATACATGTGTTTTGAAAAGTTAATGTGCAAATAAATCACATGAAGGATCTTGATCAAGTGCAGATTATGATTCTAAAGGTCTGTGTTGAAACACAAGATTTCTGCATTCCTTATAGGCTCTCAAAGTAATGGCAATGTCAATGGACCAACATTTTGAAAAGAAAAGTTTTGCTAATAAACCTTAATTTCTTTAAACTAAGTAAAATGGAGCTAAAAATAATAACATTTACCTGATAGGATCTGTGAGAATTAAATGACTTAATGTGGAAAAAGAACTTATTAAAATAATCAGTCTTATGTATCATTAGATATTGTTTGAGGTAAAGGGAATTTTTTAAAAGGTAAATAGTTGGCCTAAATGATTTATAAGGTAATTTCAAATCCTGAGATTTTAGAATTCTCTTAAAAATTTTATGTCTCTGTAAACTAATCTCATAGTAAGTAAAAATTTGGTAAATAAATGAGATACAATTTTCAACACTAAAAAACCTGTTCTAATTCAGCTGAAGTAAGCTCTCACTGATTTTCGTCTAAAAGCCTTAACAGAGGGGACCAGTAGGTGGCATGGAGGTTAGGTGCTGGATTCCTGGAGAGAAGAATGAAACAGAAGGGACTGTGGTGTGGCCAGCCCCGCTGAGGGATGATTTTTCACTTTCCCTCTCTCTGTCTCACTTTGGTGAGTGCAGGTTTCCTATGACAAAAAGCTAAAAATAAAACAAAATGCTGAACAGGAATAATGTACTGATCAGCAACCCAAGGACTCTGAAAAGTAAATGGTAGTAGGGAGATTGTAAAAATAAACTACAGTAGGGACCAGCAGTTAGCATAATGGCTATGTCGCTGAACTCCTATGTAGTCGACCACGGTTTGAATCCCGGACCCAGTGGCTTAAATTCACGCCGGGTGCGTGTGTGTGCATGCCCAAGATCCGGAGAGAATGGAGGAGAAGGGATTGTGGCGTGGCCATCCCCCTGGGGGTGATTTCTCGCTTTCTGTCTCTCTGTCTCTCTCTTGTCTGTCCGGCGAGCGCACACGCCCTATAGCAAAAACCTCTCCAAAAAAAAACACTACAGTACAGTTCAAGGTATGACCAGTCCAGTGAGGTTTCCCTGCTTCCTAGCCCCCAGGATATTTTCCAGCAGAGAGCTGACTCTATCTCAAAGACAACCTGTTTCTCAGAAGTACAAACCAAGTGTGAACAGAAAGAGCTCCAAGAGAGGTCCTCTCTGACCCAAGGAACAAAAGGGGAAGAGGGGACTGGTAGTGACTGAAAGGGTAAGGGAACCCCCTGGTTTCTTCAGAGTGTTGTGTTCCCTGATGCTCCTCAGGTAAACCCAAATCTCTAGGGCACAATCTAGTGGCAGCAGCTGCAATGGTAGTAGCAGTTAAACAGAGCCTACAACACTGAAAGGAACCCCCCTCTATGACCAGATGAACTGTGGGCTAAAAAGTGAAGGGTTTGAAATTCCTGGTGCTTTTTTCTTTTTATTCTCCCCTCATCCAACCCTAGAACGCAGCAGATTAAGCAGAAGCTTAAGCAGAAGACTGAGAAAGGAGTCATATCCGAGCTGATTAGTAAATGTAACTAGATCAAATGCCTGTTAATTTTTTAAAAGAATCGATATTCAATATAGTTTACAAACAAAACAAAACTAAGTTGGAGACATCAGACTACCTGACTTCAAAATGTATTACTAAGCCATAAAAAACAAGACTGCACGGTGAGGCAAGCAGATGGCATAGTGGTTACGACACTGGACTCCCACAGTTCAAGTCCCGGACTGTTGGCTTGAAACTCATGCCGGGTGTGTGTGCATGCATGCCCAAGATCCAGGGAGAAGAGAGGAAAAGGGGGTGTGGCATGGCCCTCCCTCCCCCCCGGGGGTGCTGATTTCTAGTTTCTGTCTCTCTGGCCAGCACACATGCCCTACAGTAGAAAGAAAAACTCTCAAAAAAAAAAAAAAAAGACTGTATGGTACTGTTACAAAAAGAAACACACATGGGGCTCACAGGTGGCATGGTGGTTAAGGGTGCTGGACTTCCACTGGCTAACCTTGTGAATTCAAGTCTGGGATCTAGCGGCCTGCTTTCTCATTTTCCTTCTCCACTCACTCTATCCCTCTCTGGTCGAATGAAAGAAAAGAAAACAAGAAAAGAAGACAAGACAAGGAAAGGAAAGGAAAGGAAAGGAAAGGAAAGGAAAGGAAAGGAAAGGAAAGAAAAGAAAAAAGAAAAGAAAAGAAAAGAAAAGAAAAGGAAAGAAAAGGAAAGAAAGAAAGAAAGTTAAATAAAATAATTCTTTAAGAAAAGAGAGAGACACACAGACCATGGAACAGAACAGAGAGAACCTCAAGTAAATCCATGAACACTCAGCCAACTGATTTTGGACAAAGGTCTCAAGGTAATTCAGTGAGGAAAAGACAGTCTTTTTAATAAGTGGTGCTAGGAAATTGGATATTAATCTGTAGAAGTACAGAACTAGATCTTTATCTCTAACCATATATAAAAACT